ACTACTGTTCTTTTATACGTCTTGATGAACTTGAGGAGGAGTCACTCAAGCACTAATTTCAAAATGTTTATAAACAGCCGAATACATTCAAAAGCAAGGAAATCGGCTGTCATATGAGTTGAAGCGAAGATACGATAAAAGACGATTTTTCCTGTTAGAAATGCAGTTACAAGTTTACAAAAAAGCACGCACTAATGGTATTGCGGATTTTGCTAACAACATCTCTTTATTTCTTATTTACAATTTTACATTAGAGAAAAGTTTTGCAAAAGGCTTTAACACTCCACAATTGTGTAAACGGGTCTTCCTAATTCGTCAGTCTACATTTCACACAATTTAAGCATATACACTCACACATACACACCTGTCTCTTATACACATCTGTCTTCCTAATTCGTCAGTCTACATTTCACACAATTTAAGCATATACACTCACACATACACACACACTGATTGCAGTTTTTGTACCCTTTTGTTGACTGATGGCTAATAAATGATAGCGAGCACTATTGGATTACCGTGTTCGGTTCATTTCACTTGAAGTCATTGACAGCAAATCGTTTGTCRTTCAGTTGGCGAATTGTTGTAAATGCAATGCCTGGGAAGAGAATGTCAAATTAGTTACGGTAAAATAATGGAGGAGCAACCAGAGGTGTTGTTTGCAGTGCTACGCTCGCACACATACATATTTACAAATATCAGTGTTGATGAAAAAGTTTTGTATGCTCGTCGATACGATTACAATACCGTTACAAACCTGTGAATAATTGTCTTTCTATGCTTTGAAGTGCTCAGTTTTATTGGTTTGACGCAGAGATGTGTGAAAATAATAATAATTTGGCAAATGGAGGTCGCTGGCAGTGATCTCTTGAATGACATCGGGAAGATATACTCTAAATAAAGAAAAGACAAGTGTGTAGAAGAATCTACATTTTGGTAGAATACATGTTTTCCATACACTACCAGCGACAAAAAATAGTAARACTTYGTTCATAATATTCTTCAAAATTTATATCGTTCCCCTCAAATTAAACCCCCTTTAGCTCAAATGGGCTTTTCCAATGTTTTATCCAATCCTCAAAAGAGTTATTAAAGAAATACCAACCTTGTACAATAAAAAAAAAAAAAAAAAAACTGTCGACGAAACGGGTTTCGCGCGAAATTTTGACTCAGAAATCTTATTATTATTTTCGCCACATTAGATCGGAGATGCTATATTAAAACCCTATAATAAAATGTAACAATTAATTAAGTTTAGCTAAATTACATTGGTTTTTTTCATCACATGTGTATAATTAAGTAGATGTCGTAAAGGAGTCCACTTAACGGGTGCTTCAGTTTGGCATTTTCATTGTTAGCCGCTTCACTTGCCTCCCTCACTTCGTTTTACTGCTTTTAGTCTTCTGTTAATTGCTTTTTTGCACATTTAGTTGCTAATAAGCCGTTTTGCATAACATTACTGTTGTTTGTGCTCTGCTACTTGTATGGTCACTCGTTTCAGTTTATTGCGAATTTCATAAGCCGATTCTAGCAAGTTGCGTTAAGTGCAATTTTAGCACTCCAGTAGTCGTGTGCAGTAAATATCGGTTGTTGTTGGTGTTATTGTTCTGTTTTATTTTTGCTTYTTAGTCTAGCGGTGATTTTATTTGTCTTTTCGCGCGTTTCAAATTCTTCTCAAGTCGCCTGATTTCCCTACATATGCACATATTTATATATTTATAGGCACATGAGTTGGTGTGAAAGTATTTTCGCGCCTTTGTTGATGAGCTGCTTTTAATTATTTTGTAATATCATTCATTCGCAGCGCTGTCACTTTCTTCGTGGCGCACTGAAATCTGCTAAATTTGTGTAAACGCTCGTTCATGCTAAAGTAGTCTGCAATTTCTTAAGCATTTCTTTTCATATTCTTTTAAGTGTTTCCCTCGGCATTTAGCAGCATTTACATTTATTTAGTGGCTCCCTTCACCCATCTTCCGGCAGCGCGTGTAGCCGTAGCCTTTCAGCAGCGACGCGGTTTAAACCGCAAAACTTTCAATTTCTCCCCAACTTCATACTTAATACTGGCTCACATGCGGGCACTGCGTGGATTTGCTCTTCTTGATTACAGCAATTACCTTAGTTGGTGTTACTTTTATTGGCGCAGTTATGCCTGCCGCTTGTTGTCATTGAATGCTTCGCACAGTGGGCTAGTTCGGCATACAATCTTTGCAAATATGAAACCGGAAAAATGTGACTGTGATTTATGCAATAAGTAGTCATAAAAGTCAAACCAAGTTTCTTTGCGAAATTCTTTATAATTCTTTAATTAATTATAATTTTTACTCCAATATACGTTTTGATTATAAAAAAATGTAAACACTTTATCTAATTGCTTTTTTCACCTCCTACTATTTTTCAGACAAAATGCTCGATATTTCGTGGTCTTGTGCTGTGCATCTGCTTGAACGTCACCTACGCCAACATCGTGCGTTTCCCGAGAGAACTGGACAAATACGGTTCTTCGTATTTGATTCCATACATAACACTATTGTTTCTAGTCGGCTTGCCAATTATCTTATTGGAGATATCAGTGGGACAGTTTTTGGGCCAAAGTGCAGCGCACACCTGGACCGCCTCGCCCATATTTAAAGGTAAGTGAGAGAGAATAGTTACAAAAAGCTAAAACTAACGAAATTAGCTAAATGTTTATGCGTGTGTGGTTAATTTATAGCTAGTCGTGAGCGTACAAAATTGCGTGGGTACAAATTGCTTATGATGAAACGAGCGAAAATCAATTAAAATTCATTAACACCGTGGCGTGGAAACATTGTCCATTTATTTAAATTTCTATGTTTGGCTGGTATTTTGTCATTAAACTTTATATGTGTTGAAGTGCTGAATTGTCCAAAATTATTTAAAAGGTCTTGAATTAAAACCAGAAATACTGCAAACCATTTTTTTAAACCGTTAAACGAGAAGGTTTTCTAACAATTCCTTGCTTTTAATATTATTTTTAGCAAAMATAGTTTAGTTGTAAATTCATAATGTTAGGAAAGACAAACAATGCAAAATRTGGCTGCAATGGCTTTAATTAAATGAGGAGGAGTTATAACTGAAGAAATAACACTAATTATAATTAACAAATGACGAGTTAACGAGCATATCAGAGAGGTACATACAATTTAAAATTGAATATGTAAAAGTGAATTTGTTTTGCACGGTTCGCGACTATTTTTGTGCAAGCAAAATGTTGCTGTGTATGAAAATGAATGTATGTATATACAAATATACAAATCCATATATGTATGTGTGCACATATATGCTTGCGAACGAAAACTACAATTAAGTGGCAACATTAATTTCCGTCGTTTAAAATCAGTTGTGATTTTGTTAGCCTAAAAATATGCAACGATTTTCGAGCGATTTTTACCAAAGCACTGTTTAACAACAGGGTTGCTGCTTTCCGTGCAATGAGTTGTTTGTAGTGATTATCCGGTGTGGTGAATACACACACATTCTCAGTAATTTGTTGCGTGATGATGATGACTGTGGCTTTATATGCATTTATCACTGGTAAATATAGGGTTTTTCAACAGGGCACTTCAAAAGTGGACCGATGGACGCCATATTTTCAACGCCCAATA